TAAGCGTCCAAGTAGTCTTTATTTGTGGTTCTTTGTACCCACCCAACAAAGGCCCCAAAGGACCTTAGGCATCGTAGGGATCCCTAACGAATACCCTTACGGAACTCATCGAAGCCCTGCAGTCGGCTTAGGGGCTCTGGGGAGGGTGCTGGTACCACTTCCTCAGAACCCCTTAGAAAAACTTAAGCCGAAGCGACCCTGTCCGAAGTTGTAGGGTTTCGGGTTTGGGGTTAACACTTTAGGTTTAGTTACGTGGGAGTTGCAGTGAATCTAAGAAAGGTGGAACATGGTTGAAGGATGATTAGTGCTGGGATTTCCTACGCTTTGCCTCAAAGGCATGAGGATAATGATGTTCCAGCTTTCTGGATTCTTCTATAGGGTGATAAACAGCCGGCTCTTGATCCTAAACTCTCATGAACCCTTGATCCTAAACAAAAAAACCGCACGTTCCGGAAGCACTTTACCCGAAACCCCCCCTGAGATCAATATACGGGGCCGCAGTTCAACGAGCGATTGGGTTGTTGGTGCAAGACGTACATACATATGTATATATATATATATATGTCCGCCGAGGCCAAAGGCCTCTGGCGTCTTGATGGTTAATACTGAGTAACCCTCCACCTAATCCTCCTCCCTACACCCCAAATGAAAACTTCCACCCCCCCCATTAGTAGCTAGAGTATAGTTCCGGGGTACATCATACTACATACTTATACTGAGGATCCCAGACTAGTTTTGGTATTTTTTTGCGGCTCCTATAGTAAGTAGGAGACGGCCTGTGGCGTTGACGACATGGTCTGCATGGAGCAGAGTCGAGTCGGAGAGCCTGGCAAAAAAAAATGCACTACTGCTATTGCTAGTGTTCTTACTATTAGCTTTGCTAGTATCTCAGTTATTGCTATGGTTTCCAAGATTTTATATGCTGCTATTATTGTAATTGGTACTACCATCGGTATGCGCTCTCTAGCATTCGGGCTTTTTGCCCTACATTCTGAACCACAAACTCTGAACTGTAATGGGTCTTAGGTTTGCAGACTTTAGGAATTAGAGTCTTCGGGTCTGGGGCTTAGGATATGGGTTTAGGGTCTGGGGTTTTTTGAGCTTATGGCATGCGATGTGGGGCTTCACGATTTAGGGTTTTGTGCGGCAGATGCTGGGGATTCCGGGCTTCGGATTTGATGTTCCGGACCTTTCGGTATGCAAGATTCAGGGTTTCGATCGTCAATAGCAGCACGAAGAGAGCTACAGGGCCACCACGCCGAAGCCCCATGATTTCTACTTCAAACTCAGGAGAAATGCTACGACATGGGAGCGAAAATGTGCGCTGCGAACCTTGGAACTAAACTTGAGCCCATAAGCCGAAACATGGGGGCACAGACTTCAGAGTGTCGCCGTCTTCCTGTATCTCCGGCAGTGCCTGGAGGCAGGGACCGGAGGCTGTGAAGAAGAGACGGTGGTGCTGCTCGAAGTCCTTCACGTTCAGCGTCGCTGCGCGGACATCCCGGCGGAACCAAGCCCACTTGCTTGGCTCTTCGGGCTCCTCTGCTGGAGCAGCAGCCGCTGGAGCCACGGTCTCTGCCTCTGGAGCTGCGCTTGCTCCTGGCTCCTTGCACTTCTTGCTAGTACATGAGCAACATGTTCAGCACTTGGAAAGGAGTCCAACTTCGGGTAAGTCTACACAGTTTAGAAACCCAGGCTTTTTATTACTAGCAAATCCAGAATCATAAGAAACCCGGAATATACTCTCGCCAGTAAACAAATGCCTTACACATGCCTTACTTGATATAGGGCTGACATGAAAAACAGTGCTGCGATCCCCTTAAGTCCCTAAACCCTAGAACCTACACCCCAGGAACGCACTTGCAAACCCAAGGCCAACACCTTTACAAAACCCAATCCCTAGACCCCACTGTTAGGGTTCCCTCATACAACAAAAGGAACTGTTGCCCCCCCAATCCCTTTAGATCTTAAAGGAGCCCGCTGAGGCACCCAGAGACTCCAATATCCCTTAATTAAGGAATATACCTTAAATCATATTAGGGATCCTACTATAATTTAAGGAATAATCCTTAATTAAGGGATTTTGGAGTCTCTGGGCACACTGTTCTGATTCTGAGTATATTCAGGCCCTGCAAAGTAAGGCTTCACCGAACCCCGTTCGAATTATCGAGGCCCCGATACTGCCTCACCGCAAAGCCGTACAAAACCCTGTAGAATGCTGAGACCCCCTAAACCCGACACCGCTAAATCCCAAGGCCCTATACAAAACTCATCACACAACCCTCGACCCTGTACTAAACCCTGTACGAAACTCATCTCTCAACCCTATAAACCCTGGACTAGGCCTATACGAAACTCATCCCTAAACCCTATAAACCCTGGACTAGGCCTATATGAAACTCTTCCCTAAACCCTATACGAAACTCATCCCTAAACCCTAAACCCGGAATAACCCACCTTTTCATGGACGAATTTCAGGGTTAAGGTAAACCCTAGACTGGGCCTATACAAAACTCATCCGAGCGGCGTCAGCTCCCAGCGACGGTGTTGCCGCTCGGCTCGGACCACCTGCCCCGATGCTCAATTTCACAAGCTCCAACTAGAAGCTCTGCAACCTGTATAACACAACATGTGTTTGCATGCTTTTGTAGATACACTGTCGCATATGTAATATATATACATATATATATATATATATGTATGTACATATAGATGTATATTCGGCCATGAACATCGCACAAACATATATATATATATATATATGTATATATATATATATATATATATAGTATATATAGAGAGAGAGAGAGAGAGAGAGAGAGAGAGAGAGAGAGAGAGAGAGAGAGCAGGTTGCTGTATACACAAAACCACTGAAAATAGTGGGTTGCCAAAACGCAGGCCCCACAGCCTCCTCTTCTGTATATATATATATATATACATACATATATATATATAGGTATATATCATTATGTACTTATTTACATATTTGATTTATCATGCAGAATTATGTGGAAGCTTCTGCAAAATCGGCCGTAGGCTTCTGTTACTATCGAGCTCCAAACAGCTTCTGTTCAAGACTTAAGCAGCCCCTGGGTTGCGCGGGATCTCTTCGGATGCGATGTTGGGGTTTAAGGCTTATTCTATAGGGTGTAGGCATAGTGCTTATTTAGGGTATAGTTGGTGTCACCAAAACCATGAACCTCTTGCTCCCACGCCGAAATACTACACACTGTGGGAAGTGTGGGGAAGGTGCAGATTGACCTTCCGGAAGCCGAGACTTGCATGGCTTGGTCGAAGGTCCTATCATCCCACCAGCATCAATGGCAGGATTTGCAGGCCGTTCTGGATGCTTTATTGTTCTTATGTAGGGTTCCTAAACCCTAAACCCTACAACGGCATACAACGGCCCAGGCTTTGCTTAGATTTACAGAGCCGGCCCAGGGGTTGCAGGCATGTGGGTGGCTGTCAAAATTAGGGTCCCTTTTTGGGTCCCTATTATAATACGGCACCTAATATTTAGGGTACCCAAAAAGGGATCATAATTATGACAGCTACCCATGTGAGGTCATGAAGAAGGTTGCCCTTGATGTTGGGAGTTCACACTTTTTGGCCATCACGCGAGCACGATGACCGCTATTCCCTAAGACTCCGGAGAAAAAAACAGTAGGTACTTCTTTCAGCCTTCTGACACCCGTATCTGTACTATCTAAAAGTTTTGGAGTCTTAAAGATTGAACATGCTTCATGCCCCGGCCCCTACTTGCAGGACCCAGGGTTGGCTGAGGGTATAACCTCATGCCTCCAGCTACGAGTCGTCACATGGCATAGCCACATGGGTGGTTGTCAAAAATCAGGGTTCCCTTTTTGGGTTTAGGGTTTAATTAGGGTTGCCGTATTACAATCGGGACCCAAAAGGGACCATAATTTTGACAACCACCCACATGGGTCATGGCTCGGGTACGAGACTGCTATGCTCGCTTCATCCAAGCAACTCTCTCCGGTTTAGGGTTTACCTTAACCTGGATTAACCGAAATGGAAACAGGTAGGGTTTTTCAGGGTTAAGGCAGTGTTTCGTGCAATCAATCTTGGGGGAAGTCCCTCTGGGTTCAAGCTTTGCTACCGGAGCCGCAAGACCAAACGACTTTGGAGGAGGCAAGATGTGGTGCTTAGATCTCAATTCAGTGGCTATGGTCCCGAGGAACCTCAGCGGGAGTTTGAGACCAGGTTTGCCATACCTCACCGAATAACCTCCCTTCCTGTTAAACCCTAAATGCTAATGCCTTTCAAGCCAACAAGCGTCTCCTTGAAAGCGTAGCAATACCGGAATGGCTTAGAGCTTGGGGTTTGGATGGGGTGAAATAGTTGGCATGTCGGGTTGGGAGCTCGCGCCCTCACTTTTCAAACTAGTTGAACAACGGGTGACAGGGTTTAGAGTCTAAGGCCTGAGGTTGTCGCGCCCGAACATGTAAACTTGGCAGCTAGCACGCACAAAGCAACGGTTGATGATATAAATCCTGCAGTACCCACAATAAGGAATATATGGGAGTTATGGTATATTCCTTATTATGGGTAATGCAGGATTTGTATCATCAACCGAAGTACCAGGACTCTCGGGGCCATGGCTTCAGAATATAGACCTGCGCGTCCGACACTCTGCAGCCTCTCCCCGGATGTTCAGGTCGCTTCAGAGAGAAATGCCCAGTAGTCTTCAGGCAGTCGCAAAGGGAGATCGCGTCTTGTCCACCCCATCCTCCTGCTGCGAAGACCCAGGTGGCGCCGTTCCATGCTTGTTTGTGAGGTCCTCCGCGCCAGCTGCTGCTTTCCCATCCGAAGAGCCGTACCGGAGGTCAAGGACACCTACTTGGAGGTTCATGGGTAGTTATAAGTAGGGTTGTAAGTAGGGGAACTATACTTGTAATTAACCCATTTTGGGGGACTTATAATCCCACTTATAACTACCCGTGAACCTCCAAGTAGAGAATCTTGACGGCTTCACGAACTCAAGTCGAACAGGACGGCGAAGCTTCCGAGATCATGCGCGCACCAGCATATGAGCAAGCCTGGCACGCATATTCCATGGTTGGCTCAAGTATGAAGGCGTCACAAAACCCAGTCCGTACGGAGAATCCCAGATTCTCAGATGGAAGCAACTGGCCCCAAAGACCCCCATGATTCTGGGGCTCAAAACATTCAGTATTTCAGTATGGATACTATGGACGTCGGGGCAACCAGGTATTAAAGCTCGTCATGCCCAGAGACTCCAATAGCCCTAAATTAAGGAATATACCTTAAACTCTAGTAGGACCCCTAATATGATTCAAGGTATATTCCTGAAATTAAGGAATATGGGAGTCTCTGGGTGAACCTTCTTTCAAAGGGGGAAAAGGAGGGACCCTGAATGGGGACCCCTACCCTATCATGGGCTATATAATGGGTATATAACGGCTATATCAAGGGTATATACCTAGGGGTCCTTATTAAGGGTCCCTCCTTTTGCCCTTCGATTCTTCAACCGTGAGACCCAAGGGTCTCTTCTTCAGCAACAGCCAAGCAGCATCATCGTGCATCCATGCTGCACACCAATAGCTCCGGCCTGCGACCAAGCGAAGCTGCCTTCAAGGTGGTTTAGGCTTCGCAACGCCACAAACTCGGCGTGTAAATGAAGTTGTTTGAAAGTCAAAGTACGAGTATGCCACAACATTCCTACAGACTCTAAACCTAAGACCAATACCTAAAGCCAGCGGAACATTTTCCAGGTGCGACTCGGCAGCTGCACCACCAAGGACCCAGCATTCGCATGGTCTCCGGCCCATCCGCCACCATATCCAAGGAAGAAGTTCGCCCTGACTGTGCTGGAGGATTCGGAGGATGTCCCTAAACCCCAAACCCTAAAATTCCTTAATTTCAAGGACCAGGGCGACTATGGTTTGAGGATGGAGATGTCAGGCCTTGTTGGGGGACTTGCAGGCCTCGTCTAGACAAGATGCATGTAGCTGAGACGGTTTCGATGTGCCGCCCATGCACGAAGATTCGTTTTAGTACATGGGAGTTTGCGAAATCAGGGGACCCTACTATAGGACACTAAATAGTAGGTCCCTATCATATATAAGGACCCCGAAATCAGGTACCCTTAATTTTCGGAAACTCCCACATGCCAAAACTAGGGACCTCGAAGCGACGCCCCGCTGCGATAACAGCAACCCAACTTAGTTGCAGAGTTCACAAGCCCCGAAAGTGCACTTTTAGTTTTAAAGTGGGTACTATTTTCCCGAACAGTGTAAAGTGTATCCACTCAGCTACTAAGACTCAAGCAAGCACCACAACGTAACCTTGTTTGACCCTAAGCTCGAAGCCCTTGTATGATACACAAACCCATGAAAAGCAGGTTTCCATAGTTGCGTGTCTGCGTTTTCGCGTCCCTACAATACTGCTGTTTAGTCTCTGCTGGCTTCGGTCCTAGTCGCGACAGACTTCGGATAGAAAGAAATCCGATCTGATCCCGTGGGTCTTCCTGGTGTCTCGTGTGTGATTTGGGTGCTGGGGTTTAAAATGTAGGGATTTAGGGTTTAGGTTTTAAGGCTTACCGTTTAGAGTTTAGAGTATAACTTTCCTGGATTTCGAGACTGAGGTTCGGGCTTCTCGGTGCAGGATGTATACCTACTCCCCCTGTTTTAGGGCAGGCTTTGTCACGTAAATAATGCTGCACAGCCACAACGACGGACGAAACATTTGTCAAGAACGCAAAATTCGGCATTGAATTTGAATGTCATATGTCTCCTTTAAACCTCAAACTCTTAACAGGTTAAGCTTCTGAACCCTTTTTTGCACAGGCTCCCGCTAACGTCAACATACCAGTAGAACGTCAGTAGGATGTCCCTTCCCTCCCAATAGGTCCTCCTCCCCCTCCTCCCCCCTGCTCTGCATCTTGAAGGAAACCCGCTACCAGTCCAAGGAAGGCAAATCACACTCTGAGCGCTTGCATGACGTCACGTCACATTCGTGATAGTCGAGTGTTTGTAGCTTAAGTGTCCCAACACATCCAAAACCACCTACAAATTGTTGGGAGGTTGGTCCAATGCCTGCCCCGAGTGTAGGAAGCTTCTTTCGACCAACACGTCACTCCAAAATCGCTCTAAGTCCTACGCCCGAAAAAGGCTGAGTCAGCCAGAATGCCTAACGCCCTGCCCGGGAGGATCTAGAAAGTAGATCCCCTAATTTGGGGCATTAAGGGATCTACTTTTTGGATACTCCCGGGGGTCTGGGTAATGCCCTCGACCCTAAACACTGGACGGACCTGACACTGATGGCCATGTCCAGCATAAAGACGTGGAGCTTCCCCCAGCTGTTGGGACGTTCCTGGAGGTCTTCTGAGAGTGTGCAACTTAGATTGTGTTTTCCAGAAGCGTGCGATACTTGAGATGATGACGATGACGTGATGAGATGACATGATGAGAACATATGATGACAGTGAGGAGGATGATGACGACCTTGGCAACCTTGCCACAGCATCGGGAACCTTTACAACGCAAACGCTAAACTCTGGCGGCTAGAAAAAAGAAAAGGACCGCAACCTTCCATGCAGCTAAATAGCGAGTCGAGGCTCTGACTGACAACACTTACATGGGAGTTTCCGAAAACTAGGGGTACCTTAATATGGGGTCCTTATAATAATGATCCTACTATTTAGGGTACTATATTAGGGTCCCCTATTTTCGGAAACCCCCACATCAAGGATCAGGAGAGCTCGTAAGTAGGGCCGCAGCGAGGCTATCTACTCAGTAGCAAAACCCACCAACATGAAACATACAAAATCCTTCAAGGAACTCTTGAATACCCTACTTGCTATGTCCACTGATCCTTTCAGAAAACCCTCAACCCTGAACCCGTCGAAGAACTCTGAGATGTGGATGGCTAAGAGATCGAACACGACAACACTCGCATCCAGGTGTTTAGGGTATGGGGCTTTGAGGGTTAAGGCTTATCGGTTCAGTGTTTTGTGTTTTGGGGTTTAGGGTTTAAGGGTTTAGGCTTTGCCAAGCTTCTGGGATCAGGGCGCTCAGCGTGTCGAGGGAGTGGAGCCTGTTGGCGCCCCAGGCGCTGGCATGCTGCGCCTGCCATCGTCCACGATTCAGTTTCAGAGGGTTCATTAGGGTTTACGGTGTAGGGATTAGGGTTTAGGTTTAGGGTTTTTGGGCTCGGTGGTTTTAGGGTATAGGCCGTCGAGCCGCTATATCAAAAAACAATCGGAAAACAACGACACAAGACAACCGTAGAAAGGACTACATGTACGTAAAATCTGAACTGGAATCCAATCCTCACCCTTTTGATCAAAATAGAATACTCGACATGGCCCCGACCTTTGTGCAGCGGAAGCCAGGCGTGTAGGGTCTAGGGGTCAGTGCCTAGACCTAAGAGTAACCTAGGAATAAAAAGGGTGCCCTTTTTGGTGTAAAGGGGGCTATAAAGGAACCTACACCCTAAAAAAGGAATGAGGGCTTACTCTGGGTCCTAGACAATGCTTTAACTCTTTCTGGGTTTGGGTTTAGGGTTTAGTGCTTACAGTAGGGCACCAAAAAAGAACATAAGCAACAGTTAGGATAGGGATATCCCATATACACACTCTTATAATGAAGCTCAACAAGGTCAGGATATCCCCATGAAATGGTTATGCTTATGTGCTTTTGGGGTCCCTGTTACAAGAACAAGTTCCGGCCGGCGCACCTGAAGCGTCTGAAAGTTCTCAGACGTGCTGGCAAGATTCGTCATCCTCATCTGCTCAACAATAGGGATCCAAAAAAACATCTAAACAAGAACCATGAGGTTGGGACATCCCATAATCCCCTCTTTCAGGTAATTAGCCAATAAGGTTGGGATATCCCACCCAAAAGTTTATGCTTGGGTGCTATTGAGGTTCCTGAAACTATGCTTGAGCTCTTTGTGGTTTGGGGCTTCAGGGTCAAAGGTGTCAGCCATCGTGGTCCGGCTCAGGTTTCAACAGGAGTTGTTAGATGTTCGTTAGAAGCTGCCCCCACCCTGTAATAGTGGTATAGTAGGAATATAATACGGCCCTAATATAATCCTTATAGTCACTATTACAGGGTGGGGGGCCCCTTCTAAGATGTTCGGGTTTGGCGCATTCCCGCCGTCTTAACATGAAAGGAGTCGCCCTCAATGTACAACAAACCCAAAGGGTCCAAGTATCATTATGGTATATACTTAGACCCCCAAAATACCTTATAAGTATATACCATAATGATACTTGGACCCTTTGGGAAAGGATGAGGCAGGCATAAAGAAGCGCACCTTTGCCTCAGCTCGCCTTCGCCCTTTCCCTCGGTTTAGGGCTTAGGGTTTAGGGTTTAGGGATGGTTGGGATAGTATAAAAAACGTACATGTCTATTCCTTACTCTGGGTTTTACGTACCTTTAGAAACGTAAGATGTTACCCAACTATGACACCTCAAAAACCCCAAGCCGGTAAAAAGACCAAATCCTCACACCGAAACCCTAGAACCTGAACCCAAAGCCCTAAAATCCCAGACCCCAAACCCTAAAACCCCAAACCCTAAAAACCTAAACCCACAACCCCTAAACCCCTAAACCCCCAAATACCCTAAACCCACAAACCCCAAAACCCTAAACCCCCAGCCCTGGGCCTCTCACAGGCAGACCCTCATGCATTTCGAAACTTCCTAGCAAGAAAAATGAGGGGGGATTTCCGAAAATACGGTTGATGATATGAATCCTGCATTACCTTAAGGACCCTAAACTATGGGAATGATGGTACATTCCCTATTATGGGTAATGCAGGATTTGTATCATCAACAGTAGGGGACCCTAATATCGTACCCTAAATAGTAGGATCCTTATCCTACTTGTCGGGTATCATGGGGAACTAAAGGTTAACCTTCTCGGTTATACAGGGATTATATAGGGACCATACTACCCAACAAAAGTTAAATGTTACCTACTCGACTACTCGGTTGTTATACGGCACTTGAAGCTGTTTTGCATTGAGAAGATTCAAAATACGGTTGGCTCAGCGCTACACATGTCTATACAGTCGAAAGCCATCGTGCAGTTGGAAAAGAGGATCCTGGCATTACAAGCACTCGGCTGAGAGCTGGATCCCTCGAATGAACTGGGCTTTGTCTTTGCCCATCGTTTGACCTGGCTGACAGGCGGGGCACTCGTGTCTATCCAAGCTATCAACATACATGCTAGGAAGACATGGCTCGAACTTTATGGCATGCGCATCATATTGGCCACGGCCAGCCAGAAAATAGTGATGCAGACATGCAGTCCGCTTCTTAAAACTGTCCTCCCACTCAACTCATTTCTGGAAGTACTTGGGCTCGTAGGCGGATTGGTAGTCACCCTTGCGGCGGCGGCTGCCATTGTCATCGCCCTTGCGGCGGCGGCTGCCATCGTCGTCCTTACCTCCCTTGCGGCGGCGGCCACCATCATCATCATCACCACCCTTGCGACGACGGGCACCGTCATCATCATCGCCACCCTTGCGGCGACGGCTGCCATCGCCGTCGTCGTCCTTGCCTCCCTTGCGGCGGCGGCCACCATCATCATCATCACCACCCTTGCGGCGGCGGCTGCCATCGTCGTCCTTACCTCCCTTGCGGCGGCGGCCACCATCATCATCATCACCACCCTTGCGACGACGGGCACCGTCATCATCATCGCCACCCTTGCGGCGACGGCTGCCATCGCCGTCGTCGTCCTTGCCTCCCTTGCGGCGGCGGCCACCATCATCATCATCACCACCCTTGCGGCGGCGGCTGCCATCGTCGTCCTTACCTCCCTTGCGGCGGCGGCCACCATCATCATCATCACCACCCTTGCGACGACGGGCACCGTCATCATCATCGCCACCCTTGCGGCGACGGCTGCCATCGCCGTCGTCGTCCTTGCCTCCCTTGCGGCGGCGGCCACCGTCATCATCATCACCACCCTTGCGGCGACGGCCACCGTCATCATCATCGCCACCCTTGCGGCGACGGCTGCCGTCGCCGTCGTCGTCCTTGCCTCCCTTGCGGCGGCGGCCACCGTCATCATCGTCGCCACCCTTGCGGCGTCGCGAACCCTTGCGTCGACGACCGCCGTCATCATCATCACCACTCTTGCGGCGGCGACGGCCCCCGTCTTTGTTGTCATCGTCATCCTTGTCGTCTTCTGGTGGCGGCATGGGGTAGCCTGGAGGAGGAGAAGGATACAGGGTTGTGGTCTCAGGCTCGGTGGTGGTCATGTCATCATCATCTTCCTCAGTAGTGGTTGGGTAATACTTCTCGGTGGTGGTGGTGGTGGTGGTGGAAGTCGTAGTAGTGGTGGTGGTGGTGGTGGTGGTGGTCGTCGTGGTGGTGGTGGTCGTGGTGGTGGTCGTCGCGGCCTTATACTGCTCCTCCGTCGTAGTGGTGGTCTCAGTCGGCTCGCCATCGGGCCCACACGAGTCGCAGTAGTGGTCCAAGGCATCCGCAATGTCTTCCACGCAAGCCATGCACTTATCCTTGCATTGTGCATCGACAGGTTTGTGACCGTCTTCTTTGCCAAACAAAGCATTGCAGAAGCCGTCGCAAACATCCTCCTCGCTCAGGCACCTGGTTCATGGTTGGGATAGCACTAAAAACCTTAATGTGTACTCCTTATTGGCTTTAAGTACCCAAAAACATGCAAAATGTTACCCAACTACGACGAAGGCACCCCTTTGAGACGTTGACCTGAGCTGCCATGAGCTTGGAGCCTGACCTGGGTTTCTGGAGCAAGCCGGTCGCTTCAGACTCCTGGAGGAAGCAAATGTCCCTGGCACAATACCTGGGTTCTTGTTAAGGGATATAATCTAAGGTACCATAAGAAGGAAACCATAAGATTTACTATAGATCCCTATTATGGTAAGCTAAACAGAAGCATTTTAACAAGAACCCCAGATACTTGCGAGTGGTGGCGATCATTTTCTGGACGATGTGCTCATTCCGGCGGTTGTGGCTGGCGCAGTGCTTCGCAACACACTTGCTTGCCTTCATCTGTCTGGTGTTTAAAAGGGTCCTATAAGGGATCCTATACAGGGATCTATAAGGGGTCTTTTACTGTCTGGTGCTTCGTAGGGAATGGGGGAATGGAAATAAGGAGACTCTTACTGGGGATTATATAGGGACGACTACGGTTGATGATATGAATCCTGCATTACCCATAATAAGGAATAGATGGGAGTTATGGTATATTCCTTATTATGGGTCATGCAGGATTTATATCATCAACAGTATAGGGATCCATACACTTGCTTGCCTTCATGCCCGGAAGCATCCCAGCATTGCACACGACCCGGCAAGCCCATGTAGAGTGATCGCACACCTGCTCATGCTCGGGGACAGCAACATTGCACGTGCCACTGGCAAAGGCACCCGCCAAGCACGAAAACAGAAGGATGATTTCGCGCTTCATGGCACCGAGGAGCTTCTTGAAAGCGCCCTGGAGCTCTTGCTTTGAATGGAGGCAGCTTCAGCCGAAATGGCGACAAGATGTGTCATGATGAGGCAGTGCAGTTGAGGATCCACATCACGACATGGGACCCATGTGACAACATGAACCTGACAGGGCCGCCAAGGGTCACAAAGAGGTCCGCGCAGTGTAGGTGCTCTGGGACACACGAGACCAGCGATTCATAGAGCTCCTGTTGAGAGAATAGCATTGGCAATGCGTGCAATTGCACCTGCACTACCGTAAGGGATTTTGACCAATCTGTAGCTTGGGATTAAGTTTTGAGGGCTTTGGATTTCGCACTGCTCATCCGTGAGTTAAGATATTCTTGTTTTTCATGCGCAGCCGGGTTGAGTTCGGAGAAAGCCTTAACTGCGCCATTACGGAGCCTCTGTGTTAAGTTGAGAGATTCGGATTCATGGATGGGCCATTGCAAGCTGTAGGACTGGTGTCCAAAATTACTTCCTTGTTTTGCTTAGGTCTTACTTAAGACATGACGAAAGAAAGCCTGTGAAAAAAAAAACATAGGGCCGTAAGTTTACCCAGAGGCCCCAGAGTAGCTCCTTTTTGGGATTACCTTATAGGACTCTTCATAGGAACCCCAAAAAAGGAACTACTTTGGGGCCTTAGGGTAGCAGCCAGGGGATGAGATTTCGGGATACCCAAGATCGCGGACACTGGTGTCGATTTTTGGAAAAGCCTTAGAAACCTGGTGGAAGGAAGCGAAATACAGAACTCTGAGCCATTGCTTAGATTATAGGGTTTTTGGAGGGTGGAGTGTGGTACATGTCTCTAAGGAACAAAACCTAAGATCCGTAAACCCCAAACCCTGATCACTTGCTGAGTTCAGAATCCCGAATGTAGGGCTTCAAGAAAACACATACAGCAAAAATCAAAACCCTCATCCTGCGACTGGCAACTCCGAAATTATCTTGTTTTTTCCTGAGGGTGTCTTATTATATTCCTATAGCACAGCAACCCCCCGAAACCTCATTGCAAGTAGCAAAGCCGCGATATCCGATACTTCTTTCGTGCTGCTTCTTCGATAACTTCTAGGATGCTTGGCCTTCTTCAATGCTGCTCTAAACCCCAAACCCTAAATCGTAAACACTAAACCCTAAACCCTACCTGGACCCTGGAGAACCTACCTTTTTATGGACTCATATAAGGAAATCATACCCAAGAAGCCTAAAACGGTAAGTACAGGGTCCAGGTACACCCTAAACGCGCGTGTTGGCTGGGCTACGAGGGCTAAGCCTCGGCTGAGCCAAGAGCCTCGTCTACTGTAGAGCCGGGCCGTCAGGTAGGGCTTGGTGTTTGGGGGTTTAGGGATTTAGGGTTTAGGGATTTAAGGTTCAGGGGTTTAGGGGTTTAGGGTTGAGACGTTTAGGGTTTCAGGGTTTAGGGGTTTAGGATGGTTAAGGTGTTTAAGGTTTAAGGGTTAAGGGCTTAATCAAGGTTTATCGTACTTCCTGACGTCTAACTAATGGGCTCATGAAGGGTAGGACGATCGTAACTCTCCTCCGGCATCGCGGCTCTAGCGTAGTGCTGCACGAGCTCAGTCTCGTAATACCTGGGCTAGGGCGGTTCATCCCCAACCCCGGAATCTCACAAATTCCCCTAGAGCGCTCACACAAGAAACTCTACACCCTTAATCCCTGACACCTAAAGCACCCAAGCTGTAAGGTCCAATCTACCAGGGTTTGGATTTAGGTTTCTTCACTTTAAACACCTTTACAACAACTAGACCTTGGATTCATTGTCATACCGTACAGTTAGTGGATATCCAGGAAAAGAAGCTTCAGGAGGGCCTCGAATTCGTGTCATCCTAAACCCTAACCCCGGAAGCCCCTAACCCCGGAAGCCAAGAAAACACTAAAGCTCATCACAAGACCCAACAAAAACCCATGAAATGATTCCTTACAACCCAAGAAGCCCGAAACCCTCGAAAGCCTTATATAACCCACAAACCCTACATCCCCAACAAACCGGATTGCAACCGCATAGCAACATTCTGTGACCAAAGCGCTTGTAGCCTTAACTACAGAAGCCAAAGAATCGGAATAAGGTTTTGTGAGTCTCAGGTATGTCATACTTTACTGACGTATACATTGAAGAAGCCTGAAGAATGACATTGCTGCTCAACCAGCCCCCATGGACTACAGGGGCCTAATCAGAATAGGGTGTGAGGCCCATTAGACCATAAATGTCCAAAATAGTATGACTAACTATCTAGGCCCCTACACTACATCCTTTCATCGTTATAGGCCTCTTTAACAGGAACCCTTAAAGAAACCCCTGGCCCTAGGTAATTCTTTAGGTCCGCATATTAATATAAATCTGCACACGGAGCGACTCCATTAGCCCACCTGCAGCGAGGTCCCGCCACCGCCAGTGGACCTCCGCCGGTTTGGGGCTTAAGGTTTCGGTTCTCAAGTCCTACCAAACCGTGCTTTTTTTATTTTACGGGCCCTTTTCCGACTGCATTACGAGAGGGAATACCTTACCAGGTGGAGCCTGTGTTAGGGCCTCAGTGTGGCCACGGTTTGGGCTTTAGGGTTTAGTTCTCCAGTCCTACCAAACCAGGCCTGACAAAGGCTCTATAAGGATGGAGGGAAGGCTGTATTGCCCGCATCGTAGGGTACATATAAGGCTCAAATGAGAGCGTTATAGGCTTTTCAAGGGCAGAGCAGCGGCTTCACAAGGGGTCAGGAAGGTGTGGGCTTGGGCTTCGTGAGGACTTGCCCGGGGCTTTACACAGGCTTACGAAAAGATTTTTATACAGGTTGTAAGGTTGAACAAGGGCTCTTCAGCAAGGACTCTGTTTCCTGAGGGTTTAATGAGGCCTTGAAGCTTCTCCAGAGTTTTTCAACCCTAAACCCTAAACCCCTAAACCCTAAACCCCTAAACCCTAAACCCTAAACCCCTAAACCCTAAACCCTAAACCCTCGTCACAGGGGCTCAGGGGCTTCCTGGAGGGCAAGCTCCCAGAACGAGTTGCCTACAGGGCCTACTTGGAGGGTCGGGGGACTTAGTAAGTAGGGGGCTCCTTCAAAGGGGATTATAAGGGTTCCTTAAAGGGCTCCATAGGGGTACTATAGGGTTTAGGGTTCAGGGACTTCGTAAGTAGGTAGTAAGTAGATTTATAAGTACCCTAAAAGGGACCCTAATTGGGGTTATGGTACTGATAAGTCCCTAAACTAGCCAGTTACTAAGTCCCCCGACCCTCCAAGTACAAGGGGGGAGCCGTCTGAAAATCAAGGATCCCTTTTTGGCTAACCCCCCAAACACACCTACTGTTCAAGGCTTTCTTAGTAACTTAGTATGATTTCTTTATACAGGTCCTTAAACAGTGTGGGTTTCGGGTGTTAACGCAATGCTCTGGAAGTTATGTCCTAGGGTCTGCATGTGGGCCACATAATGGCTACGCCATGCTTCCGCTTCCATGGTGGGGCTCGGCATTTCCCAGAGAGCCCAATACCCCTTAATTAAGGAATATGGCTTAAATTATATGGGGCTTCATATTCTGAATGAAGCAATATTCCTTAATTTAGGGGTATTAGGTTCTCTGGGTTCGGATATGCAGGCTAGGGACGGCCACAAAAGGGAGTCCAGGCTGCTGGAAGGAGCGGACAGTGGCATCAGCAAGCTTCTCGATGTCAGGATGAAACCTCGCCGCGAAAGGCGGGCCCCAAACCCCAAACCCAGCACCCTACACCCTTAGGCCGGCTCAAAACCCATATATCCGAAATCCTAAACCCCATCCGACCCTTGCCAGATCGCCAAAAGAACCCTAAACCCTACACCCAGCAGGCATTCTCAGTTACCATGAAAAAGTCGATCGCGCTAGAGCCCTGAAGCCCTAAAACCCCATTTTTCCCTAAACCCTAAACCGTGTAATCTGTAAATCCTAAATCCGACTGAAGAACAGCCGAGAGGCTTCAGCACTCGCCATAAGGGGGGGAGCCAACCCAGCCTCAGCAAAGGAAGGCATCTGAAAGGCCAGCTTGCTTTGTTTGAGGGTCCCAAGTATTAGGGTTTTGGGTTTATGCCAGCTTGCTTCCCCCCAAACCCCCGGGAGGATCTAGAAAGTAGATCCCCTAATTTGGGGCCCTATACTACTAAGGGTACTTTATAGGAACCCCCATTAAGGGATCTGCTTTTGGATCCTCCCGGGGGTCTGGGCCCTGAAAATAGCAAGTACCCGAAACATCGCCGCAAAGGCGCCAGAACCCTGTTCAGAGTACAGCCTTTCGGGGCGAAGGGCTCAGGATTTAGGATTTAGGGCATAGTGACCAAAAAAACCAGACTACTGCTTCAATGCCCTATAAGCCCTAAGCCCCTAACCTCCGTTCCAGCAGCCAGGTGGCTGGCCCCAGTGGAGCTTGAAGCGCGTCCGTTCAGGCCCCGACCAGAAATAGAGCTGAAAGCCTCAAGCTCTCTAGGGCGGAGTGGAGACGCTTAAGCTTAGGCTTCAGGGATTTAGGGATTTGGTTTTGAGAGATTATATACGCTTATACGGGGTATATCCGTCCCGGTATAAAGAACGGATTCTAGCATCCGAAGCCAGAGACTCCAATATCCCTGAATTAAGGAATACTCCTTAAATCATATTAGGGATAATTTAAGGAATATTCTTAAATCATATTAGGGATCCTTACTATAATTTAAGGAATATTCCTTTAACTCTTTTTCGGGATCCTTAACATATTTTAAAGAATATTCCTTAATTAAGGGTTATTGGAGTCTCTGGGAAGCACGAGGCTTGGAGTTAAATCGAAGGCTTGTTGGACCCCCCGGGGCTTCCTATACCACTGTACCCTTTAATACCCAAGCTCTAAATGGGTGGTTGTCAAAATTAGGGCCCATTTTGGGTCCCTAGTAGAATACGGCACCTAATATTAGGGTATCCAAAAGGGGACCATAACTTTGACAACTACCTAACTCAAAGCAGAAGAACAAACTGCTGAGACAGGAACCAAGGCACCCAGCCGACTGCCATGTTTCAGCGCTTCTCGCATCTCGCGCTGAAACTTATCTCCATCCAGATGGACAGACGTATTCCTCAATCATCGCGAAGTTTGCATGGGAGTCTAAAGCTAACATACCTATCAGCGCTTCTCGCATCTCGCGCTGAAACATCTCTCCATCCAGATGGACAGACGTATTCCGCAATCATCGCGAAGTTTGCATGAAAGTCTAAAGCTAACATACCTACCGACCCAAAACCTGCAACCCACGGCACAGACAATCGATACTCTGACGGTGTGAGTCTCCCATACTCAAAGCCCTACTACAAACTAACAACGCAATGGAGGGTTCAGGGCTGTGGGTTCAGGGGTTCGGGGTCGTGCAATACGGGTGGAATCGCAACATAAAGCCACCGGCAAACACAACGTTCGTGCGTCACAAGACCCTACAGAGAGCCTAACCCACAACCCTAACCGGCAAGATCAGAACGGGGCCCTACCAAAAAAAACTGTAGCCTAAAATCCCAAACTCCAAAACACTATAGTAATGGTGATCAGGGGTCGAGGCATCTGCTGCGAGGCAGACTACGCGCTTCACAAACACGTCACGCCCGTCGAAGGCTTTCCTGAGTACGGCGTAGGGCATGGTTCAGAGCTGTTCGGGTCGGACTTAGAGATTCGGGTGTTTTAGGTAGGGTCTAGGGTTTAGGGTCTAGAGCTTTGCAGTGCTTTAGGATTTAGTGTTGATGTTATGGGATAGAGGGTTTGTATAATAGATGGTTCCAGGGTCGAGGTCTGAGGGATTTAGGGTTTAGGGGTCTGTTGGGGCTAAGAATCACGGTTTAAGGATTGTAGGGTTTAGGGTTTGAGTGCTTAGTAACTAGGGGCTTGCAAATCTGCAGTTTAGTCTTCAGGCTCTTGGCCGCATCTTGGGGGGCGAGAGGTCTTGTTAATTACCTGTCCAGCTTTCCAGATTCGCTAACCTTCTGGCAAGAATAATACTAGCGCTTAAGTTAAGTTGGACCATTACGATCCTCACGCCCTCAAGGTAAAGTATAAGGGATGCGCGCACTAATCATCCTAAGCTAGGCCCATGTTCCTACTCGGTGTATATGTGGGTGGTTGTCAAAATTATGGTCCCTTTTTGGGTACCCTAAAGATTAGGTGCCGCATTATAATAGGGACCAAGAAAGGGACCATAATTTTGACAACCACCCATGTATAAGACACCTTACAACCCTAAACCCCAAAAGCTGAACGGCTGCCGACTCGACTGCTAACTTTGGATCCAGGATTCAGGGATAAGTTCGATGCCAGGTTTAGGCATCAGGTTTAGGGTCTTTCTGGGGCGCAACCTTAATCCTCAACTCTGAATATCTCGAAACCCCTGAAACCCTGAAGCCTGAGCCCACCCACAACCAGCCGAAACACTCTAAAGTCCAAGATCTCTCGGAACTCCGAGCTCAAGATAAGCACACCTTTTTGATTGAAGGAGCTTTTAGGGCTTTGGGCTTCGCGTCCCATAAACCCCTGAACCCTACACCGTAAACCGCTAAACCAAAGAAGGATGAGTCTGACCTAGTTGCTGAGTTCATAAGCCCCCAAAAACTGCGCACACTTTCAGTTTTATAGTGGGGAATACTATCCCAAAACGTGTAAGGTGTATCCACTCAGCTACTAAGCTAAGATGAGCTGCACAAAGCCATTGAAGTGCTCATCGTCCCGGCAGTGGAGCAACGGCTCTGCGAAGATACGGCGGACCCAGGCTCCCCCAGGCTGAAACGCGGTGTTCCTCGGGAGTTGTTTGGGTGCCTTGGGATTTAGGATTTAAGTTTTTGCCGGGCCTTACGCTTAAATCCGTCAACGCCGGCCAAGATTACAAACTCGAAGCCCTAGAGTCATACTCTCAATCCCGGAAAAGATTCTGCTTCTGTAAGACCACTATATTCGTCGAATACAAACACCTAAGACAAGCAAGCTGCACAGACGACCTATAGGAACCCATATGCAGGGTTTAGAGGACCAAATTTCTGCTGCCGGAGCACAAGAGGAAGAGAGTGTCGATTGAACCCCCTTGCTCCAAGAAGTCGTCGAAGCTCACCTGAACTTAGGGGTGTCCTCAAGAACCCCAAAACCCTGCCTTTTCGAGGAACAGCGGGAAATCCCTAAACCCTAACCCTAAACCCTAAACCCCTAAACCCTAACCCTAAACCCTAAACCCTAATAGGTTATCAGGGTAAAGGTTCGGGTGAGGGTTTAAGCTCGTAGACTGTTGTGGTTTGGTCAGGTTCAGGGTCTACCTTAACCCTGAAGAACCTACCCTTTTTAGGGTTCCTTAGTATGATTTCTTTATATAAGTCCTTAAAAAGGTGGTTTATTCCGGGTTCAGGGTCTAGGGCTTGGGGTGTAGGAGATGTGGAATGACGTCGAAACAAACCCTAAACCCTGAAGCTGTAAACCCCCTCGTACTCGGGAGCGAAGTCACCGTGCGCTCCACACCCAGAGACTGGAGCTCTTTCCGGAAATGCGCCACGTCGAAAACCTGGAAGACGGGGGGACGGGGGGGAGGGCCTTTCCAGAAAGCTCAAAGTAAACCAATAAGCCTTGAATGCAAGGGTAGAAGAACCAGAAACCGTTAATATTCGATTTCAGGGCTTAGGAATTAAGATTGAAACCCTAAAGCCAAACCCTTGAACCTTACAGCCTGAACCATAAACCCTCGGCCAGCAACCAGCAAAAACCCTGGACCCTAATTGTGCATGGACCCGAGGAGGGAGTATGGTAGCGTCTCGGGGAATCTTGAGAACGTTGAAAGGCCAGTGCGTGCCCCGCAAAAAAACGAACACAAAACCCCGTGTGAACGCGGAAATCTGGGAAACCTCGTAAAGGACAAATCGCACTGCAGAACCAGATTTCCAACTTTAGAATCCACAGTAAAGTTGGACACATCCCCGTGCGAGATAAACCCGAAACCCAAACCCTAATCGCAGCGATGGGGACGTCGGCGAAGCGGAAAGTTTCATCACGGCCCGACAGCTGGCAAACCTGGCGATAGCCCCAAGGGTTTAGAGATGAAGGGAGATCTTCGGAAACTAATCCAAATCCTCAACCCTGAACCTGAACTCAAAAACCAAAAACCCATACAGTAGAAGCCAGAAAGTTGGAATATCATTATCGTAACCCCTTTAAGCAAATTATAGGGGATCCTACCATTAGTCCACATTCCAACTTTCTGGAGTTCCCTTTAATCCTAAACCCGAAACCCAAAATCCTGAGCCCGAAGCCGAAAGCCTAAATGCTAAAGCTCTCTTCTCCAATAACCAGGCCCCAAAAAAGTTCAGACTTTGTAAGCTAGACCAACTACATAAAGCCAAAAAGTTTAAAGTTCTCCAATTGGCTAAGTAAGAAACTCCAGCCCACTATCTAGACCTAAGAGTAACCTAGGAATAAAAAGGGTGCCCTTTTTGGTTTAGAGGGGCTTATATACGGGAACCTGAACCCCCAAAAAGGGAATAAGGGCTTACTCTGGGTCTTAGTTATAGGGCCTACGCTTTCAAGGCAAGGTTCAGGAATTCTGCCCGCACGATACTGAACTTAGAACCCTAGCAAAAATTACAACTTTAGCTGTCTCTTAGGGATCATAATGACCAAAAATTTAAAAAATGTTTCTAAGCACCCCTAAGCGCAGTTACTTTTCGTTGCGGAAAAGTCTCGGGTGATAAAGTCGTGTCGGTTTCGGGTTTGGGGTTTAGGGGTTTCTGATTTCATGGTTATGAGGCTTAGGACTTATATAGGATGTACGGTGTAGGCTTTGATGGTTTGGGGTTTTCGTGCCCAGGGTTTGAGGCTTTCAGGGGTTTAGGGTTGACATCACCGCTGCGTATACAGGGGACTCTCCAGTAGTCCCGAAGACCAGGTAGGCTTTCCGGGTTCACTCAATCCGCTCATCCCGACGACTTACAGCACGGGTGGAGTTTGCAGGGCTTAGAGGTACTATAGAGCACTATAGGGCTTAATTACACGGTTTAGGGGTTTAAGAGGAAAACGCATTCGCACTTAGTTCACAAATATTGCTTGAAGGAAACAGGTACCCAAAAAGTATTATCAATATGGAACCCGGGGAGGGCTGCTGGGGCGAAAAGCCCGAACGTCTCCCATGCGAGCCTCCCGGACGGCCTCTTCCTCCGATCTATGTGCAGTGAGATCTGCCCACTGGCCGGAATGCATGTAAAGAGCGTCCTCCACCTGGGTAGTTCACTGAAGGGTCCCTTTTAAGGTGCCGTGCCATTTTGCAGAGAACGACCCGCCTCTATCAGTGCAGGGGTTCAGGGCTTTAGGGCTCCGGGTTTTAAAGGCTCAGGGCTCAGGGTTTGAGATTTGGGCAGCAGTGTTACTTTTGCAGGGGATTAGGGTCTGGGGTTCGAGGGCTGAGAGTGAGGGCTCAAGCTGGCGTGCCGCTTCCTGTTTGGTCGCTGCAGAGCAAGCGGAGAAGGCTCCCACCCTAAACAGCACGGCAAGCTGCCAGACCCTCATCTTCGTCGGGTGCCTACAAAGTGTATGCTGTCGCTATCGACAGGGACGGAACAAGTAGACTCACTCCCGAACCCACATCCCCAAACCTCCGGCAGCCAAGGTGCCACGTGGTGAAGCAGTGGCTCTACCAAGGTCGCATTCTCAAAGCCCTGGTTCAAGATCAGCGTCAGCGCCTGGCGGTTAATAACACCCGCAGATACATGCAGAACAACTGGGACGAACTATGAATCCCCTGAAACCCTTACCTCTTATAAGCACTAAACCCCTATTACACCCCTTAACCCGAAACCACTCCAAACCCCTAAACCCTAACCCGAAACCCCGAAACTCTAAACCCCTACCTTAACTCCAAGTAACCTACCTTTTTAAGGATGTATGTAGAGAAATCATATTAGGGAACCCTAAAACGGCAGGTTCCTTAGGGTCCAGGTAAACCCCCGAAACCCGCGCGGAGCCTGCATAAGGTCAATCAGCAGCCAGCTGAACTGCTCCCGACAGCGGCCAAAAAAGTCCAGAGGGAGCAGCACCACGCCTCAACAACACCAGGGGGAGGGGGAAAACACAGGTTTGGCTTTGTTTGGTGGTCTTTTGGCTTTAGAAGTCTGTAGGGTCTAGTCTAGGATTTAGACAACAGCAGCCGCGGTGAACACACAGTTTTGCTTTTCTGGTGGGCTTTTGGCTTTAGAATTCTGTAGGGTCTAGCGTTTAGGAAATGCCGCCCACAGCCCCAAGGTCTGAACCCTTGAACCACAGATGCCAAGAGACTGAACTTGCAAGCCCCACTGGACTGAAATCCGAAATCTGCCCTGAACCCTGCAACCGTGGCGAGACAAATGTGCCTTGAATGATCGTACGAACTTCCGTACACAGCTTGAGGTGTATCTCGACTGGAAAGATGTATATAAGAAAAACCCAAAATGTCGCAGGGCGCACAGTCCAGATGATGTCAAGAAGTCCACGAACTCACATCTACGCTCAATCAACTACGTTAAAGTTATTCATACTGGTGTTGATACTAATATCCATATATGCTTACTTTTTATAAAAATATTCAATGGGGTTAATTATTCCGTAGCATTGAAGTTGGCCTCTCCAAACCCTAAGCCCTTCGTCTGCAACAGGCTGCACCCCTGACCAAACTCTACACACCGATAGAAACGACATGTTCCCTAGTCACCATGTTCTAGAGTCGAATATATGTATGTATGTATGTATGTATGTATGTATGTATGTGTATGTATATGTATATTGTCCTTGCATGCATACATACACACATGCGTACATGCATATATGAATCCTTACATGCATACATGCATACCTACATACGCCAATCCATCCATCCATCCATCCATACATCCATACATCCGTCCGTACATACATACGCACGTAGTTGGTTCATGCGAACATACATGCATACATACAGGCAAGCAAGCATGCATATCTACATATGCATATACGTTTATTTATGTTCGAAGTTCTGTCTATGCTTATGTCTACATTTGTACTCGTCCTTGCGCAGCCCTTGTAGGCACCTTCCGCCCCCGCGGGCCGCTCCGCGGCCAGCATCACTGGCACCGCACTGAAGTCGAAGACCTGCTCAGCGATCTGTTTTGTCGTTGAAAGAGCCGGATGCTTTTGGGTCACCTGTTAACCGGGGGGAACTTAAGGTCTTGTGGTTCAGGGGTTTAGGAGTTCTGGGCTTTTGGGCTTGTGGGCTTTTGGGCTGGGAAGATGTTTCGGGCTTTGCGGCGCCCACTCTAAAGCCAACTTCCCTCGCGAAAAACAGCGCAGAGACGGAAGCACCGGCTTAAACCCTTCGCGGCAACTGGGCACCCTCAGCCGAAACGCGAAACAAACACCGCAGCCCAAAGACTCCAATATCCCCTAATTAAGGAATATTCCTTAAATCATATTAGGGATCTTTACTATAATTGAAGGTATTTTCCTTAATTAAGGGGTATTGGAGTCTCTGGGAGCGCCGGACCTCATAGTCGTCGGACCGCCGGAAGAGTCCGCTGGGTGCCTGTTGGATCAGGCTCCAAGTCGTCGTAGAACTAAACCCACGACTAATATAGGGCTTTCCGAAAATAGGGGATATATATATATATATGTATACATATACATATACACATACATATACATACATATATTATATATATATATATATACCCCAAATTTTCGGAAACTCCCAGATGGGGGGGGGCCTGATGCTAAGATTCTGCAGGGGGTTTGAGGAACACACACCCACTTACCCGAACAACAAAAACGCTTGACCCTAAACAACAATCGGTCAGATAATCCGGACACTATATACCTGGAACCTCCTGCGGCAGAAATTTTCGCCGCAATGCATTGCGGCGTTTATTTTTGCCGCATTTGCTTTTTTCTGCCGCAAGCGACTGGGAAACGCCGAAAGATTTTTCGAGGAGAAGCCCAAAAAGAAGAAACGCCGCAGCAAAAGAAGAAACGCCGCAACTTATGCGTCTTCGTGCGCTTTTACCCAAACTTGTGGATGAGATTGTAGCAACTACCACACTTCGTCGTCATCATTATCATCAGCATCATCATCTTTGTTGTCTTTGTCTTCATCAGTCTGCATTCCCATCAACTTCACCATCTCACATTTGACAACATGAAAACCATGGTGGTATCACGATCACCACTGCTATGTGCATCTTCGTGTTTATCTTCATCAGATTCACCAGCATCAACACCAATGTCCAGTATCTTCCAAAAAACGTATCATCATCCTCACCCACATCGAAGGATCCAGAAGCTGTCGTGTCCAGCGGGCTTTTTGTTGTAGGCGGGGAGTAGCACAGCAGAACGCTCGAAAGTTTAGCTTCAGGTATTAGTTGCAAAAAACATACGATGTCCGTTGCTGCTAGCAGCCCCAAACACGAGCCTAAAGGAAGACAAAAAAAAACAAGCGGCCAATAGCCGCTCCTTCCCGGCGAATGGGTCAGCATATACTGCATCAGGCTCTACTGACTCTACTGTTCGGTTCGATTAGGTAGAAGCGGACATGTGTAATCTGCGGTAATTCCCGATGTGCCTGCAGTATAACGAATCATAAACAAACGCATAATTTTCGATTTGACTGCGGCGGCTCTCCGCGAAAAATATATCCTCTCTTATTGTGTTCAGCAAATGGTTGTGAATTGCGACTGCACGGTTTTCCCAGGCATGTATGTTTGATTTCGAGGCTGTGTCTGATCTCAACATGCGGAATTTCGGACGCCTTATAAAGGCCACGGCATGGGATAGATATGGTTTCTGTCTCGCATGGCGCTACAAGACGAGGTTAGCGTGTCTTATCGTGTAAATTTTGCAATATGTGGAAACTGAAAGGCATGTCATCTAAGGAGTCTAATCCAGTACCAAAGTAGTGGATTTCAACACGGTTAACCAAGTTTCCTCAACTACCGGCGCAGTAGGACGTAATGCAGTTTATTGGTTCGACTCACTGTGGCTGGAGCACGCCTGAACGACGCGCGTGCCTGCAAAAACGACGTGGTCCGGACATACTGAAGCATAGAATCAAACTGCCCTCAGAAAAGAACACGAGGGAAGGACGCAGCAGGATCTGAAACTAAAAGCGCTTCATAAAATACAGAAGGAACAACGTTTAAACTGCGGCTTCCGCTTTCGTGGTGACGCAGTGGCCGCAGTGGCCTGTATTTGGGACATAATGCGGACGTCGCGAACATCTCTCTGTTTTCTTCAAGTTTCCAAACAAGGGGTTCGTCTACGTAGTTTCGGGTTGAAGGTTCCGTGTTTAAGGCTTCTGCAGTTTAGGATTGAAGCTGCTAAGGTTTAGGATGCTGGGCATGCTTCCGCATGAGAGTTGGGTACGAACTTGGCCCTTTATTTGTCAAGCGTTTGGCGTACACTAGGAAATGCACGAAGTAGGAAGACTTGCGGGTATTATCAACAAGTTTTGTCGTCTGAGCAGACATATTATCTACATCTGCACATCTGCACCTCGCAGTTCAATTTGCGACCACGACATGGCAAACCCACGACAGATGCTAGCACTGTGCTATACTTTCGGTGCCCAGCACAAGACTACCCCGATGCTGCATGATGCTGCATGGCTTTCAAATCCGGATGCATGGACGAAATTGCAACAAGAAGCTTCTGAAACCCATCGGCACACTTGTTACCGGAAGGGTGTCCGCATCTTTCCGCCGCAATGTCGGGAGTTTCCGCCGCAATGTCGGGAGTTTCCGCCGCAATGACGGGAGTTTCCGCCGCAATTTTGGGGCACGAAAACCATCATAAATCGCATCCAAAAGTGTTTTGGAGTCACAATTCTCGCTCACCCAGTGTTCTGGCGACAACACTGGCCCAAAACGAACATGCTGTGCTCTCAGTTCCAACATCCTTCAGACTTGTTAAAGGTCGTTCGGCGAAATGATGTGGAGGGGATGCAAGTCTCAACAGAGCTCCTCGTTGCATTTCGCACGCTCGCACCAAAAACCTGTTGGGACTGAGAACAGACCGTGCTCGTCCTTAGCCAGTGCTGTTGCTAGTAGTAACGAGGAGTGAAGCTTGATTCCCGAACAAAGTCTAGATGTGTTCTTGCGTGTTTTGTGCATCCCGGAATTGCGGCGGAAAACCCCGTCATTGCGGCAGAAACTCCCGACATTGCGGCGGAAAGACGCGGACACCCTTCCACTAACATGTGCACAATTGACCCACCTGCACAAGCATTTTTTGCAATGTCGTCCACGCATCCGGGCTCGAGGGTGTGTTCATGATGCAACACCTGGATAGTCGAGTGCTGGGCATTGGAGTTTTGTGCCAGGAGGCTAGCACGTCGCTGCTGATTAACTGGCTGGTTCATGAGTGCATAAATGTGTTTCTGCATGTTGGCTTCCATGGAGTTGAGGAACCGTTTGCAACTCCAAGTTCCCTCACGAAAACCTGGTTTGAACTCCAAAAAAGAGATAGACTCAAACCAGCACAAGCTCCAAACTTCAAACCCAACCTGAAGCGGGAATCACGCCCCCCAACCCTAAACGCCATCAGTTAAATCCTATACTAGAGAAACTCAAAAATACTGACTTTCTACCCGAAGCTGGTTATTAAGTGTGCCTCCGGAGGAAATGAAGTTGTTCGCAAAGAAGCACAAAAATGTCCGTCCCAAATAACTGCCGCAAAGAAAATCCATCATGTCCTTCGGACCGGCTGTTGCTGCAGCTTTAGATAACTATTTCGTCTTTATCACGGTCTTTCTTCCGGGGCAAGCGTTTAGCAATTAGGTCCTGCTGAGACCCGTACTTCCGTATCTTGTCTTAAAGCCAGATCTGGAGCTGCACGTCGGCATGTCTGTACTACGCCTGTTGTTGAAACCACAAGGTGAGCTCGAGCCACAATACGTCTGCATTATCTGATGAGCGTGCAATTAAGCACCTTAGCCCGAAGTTAGGTTCAACCCTCATCGCCAGTTCTGCTTACCAAAAACGGCCCAGTTAAAGTTCTCTTGTTTTCAACTTTTGAAATTCTCGCATCACCGAAATGTTGTTTCCACTTTTTTGCACTTCCGCAATCAACTCGGGGGTGTGGGCTTGGGCTGCACCGAAAGATTTGTAAAATTGACGCCATGCAAGACAGAAGCCAAATCCATCCCGGTCCTTAGACATCCTACATGCTGAAACAACCTCGAAATCAACCACACCGTGCTTCGTAACACCCTATCGTTGCAACGAAGCACGAACAGCATCCACATGGTTTTCAACGAAAATCGTCGCAAGGATATCAGGAACGTAAATATGAGATAACTGCACTCTTGCACCCGAAAGCAAGTTATAGGCGCAAGTTACAAACTTGGTGTTTCAGTCTGCTATGAACATACCTCGGTTTATGCAGTTTTCATGTCCTTATACAGTCTAAACCGGCCGGGCAGCACCATGTCACTGCAGGAACGTTCGACCATAAGAACATGGAGCTGCGAGCTGGCAGCAAAACCAAACTTCGTTCGTGAAAAAAAAAACGCCGCAGAAATCACAATTCTGCCGCAACTGATGTGCTGTATACTGCTGGATTTAGGTTTCTGCCGTCAGACATGTCTTTCCGCCTCCGATTGCGTTTCGGCGCCGCAACCCTATTGCGGCGGAAATTTTTGCCGCAACGGAGTTTCCAGGTATAACCCTAAACTTTTGAAACCCTAAACGCCTATAAACCCGCATAACCTCCTCTGAACCCTTATAAACTCTATGAAAAGCCTAAGCCCTTGATGGCGGCGCCTCGGCAAGTTGAGTGTAAGACCTGCCCCCAGCAGCCGGGAATCGCTCCCAGCCGAACTCCTGGTGCCTGGCTCTTGGCTCCTTCGGTTTTTAGGGTGTAGGGTTCTAGGGTCCAGGGTTTATAAACGTTCAGGGTTCAAGGAAAAGGAGTTTATGGTTTGGGGTGCAAGGGTTCGGGGTTTAGGGGTTTAGGGCTTAGGGCCAGGGTTTAGGGATTCAGGGTTGTTGTCTACATCATTTAGGGGCTTGGGCGTAAGGGTTTAGGGCTCAGGGAATACCCAGGAATCAGGGGCTCTTAAGATTTAAGATCGTTCGTGCGGCTGCGCATCTTAGATCCACATCTAGAAGATGTTCCTGGCTTTGAAGAATCCTGGTGGTCACCCGCATCCCTCAACAAACCCCAAACTGGAAACCCTAGATCCTTCCATCTACACACAATAGGTCCTAAATCACAACCCCACCCACCCTAGTCCCCCTCATGCTCAATCCTAAACTAAATCCCCTAAACCCTAGAAACTAAACCATTTGTAAACGGGGCTCCGAAGATCTATATTGAACTTAGAACCCTAGCAAAATTGTAATTTCGGCTGTTTCTTAGGGATTATAATAACCACAAATTAAAAAACTACCCCTAAAGCCTAAACCCTAAACCCTAAACCCTAAGAGATGTGGGTCCTCGGGCGGTTCCTGGACTGCTTCGCCCTCCCTCGCGAGCGAAGTGTCTGGACGGGCATCCGCGGTCCTTCACCCAGACACTCCAATATCCCTTAATTCAGGAATATACCTTAAATAAAAGTGGGATCACTGATATGATTTAAGGTAAGTATATATCGCTTAATTAAGGAATATACCTCAAATAAAAGTGGGATCGCTGATATGATTTAAGGTATATATTCCTTAATGAAGGGATATTGGAGTCTCTGGGCAGGTTGACACCAGTTGTAAGAGGGACATCTTCAGAAATCTGGGTTCAAGGCGGTCGTTTAGGGTTTAGGGTTCAGGGGTTTAGGGTTTAGGGGTTTGGGTTCAGGGGTTTAGGGTTTAGGGGTTTGGGAGTCTAGCCGGTATGTCCATCAAACCTGAATGCTGTAGCCAGGTCTACCTGTGTGGACTCAGGCTTACGAAAGCTGAGGCAATGCTACATGGTGTGAGGTTTAATGATGAGAAGGAAGGCTTTGTGGGTGAGAGCACTGAAGTCCTGAACTCTGAGGAGTCAGAGATTTAGGCTTCTTAAGTTGGACTTGAGGTCCCAAACCATAGAGGCCTTAAGTCCCTGAGGGTCCATGCAACCAAATAGCACAGGCTTTGGCCCCAAAGTGCCTATTATAGGGAAAACATGAAGGCCAAAGTATTCTAGACCCAAGAGTAACAAGCATTCTAGACCCAAGAGTAACCTAGGAATAAACAGGGTGCCCCTTTTCGAACCTGTGCCCTAGACAAGGGAATAAGGGCCTACTCTAGGTCCTAGTATTTCCTATTCGGGTACATGGAATCTGTTGAAGTGTATTGCGGCTTGGGGCGGAGCCGGACAGTCCTGTACAGGTAAACATCTGCATCGAAAAGATCGCCCAGCTGGTGATCCATAGAATAGCACGTGCACTGGCCACAACCCTCGGAAGGTATCTCCTCCTGCAGGGTTTAGAAATTCCAGAGACTCCAATACCCCTTAATTAAGGAATATACCTTAAATTATAGTAGGATCCTTATATGATTTCAGGTATATTCCTTAATTAAGGGATATTGGAGTCTCCGGGTTCCCAGTTCGGGGAAGGTTTGGGTGGTCTGAATGAGCGCCTTGAGGCTTGAAAGCGTATCCCAAGTCATGGGATACATTCTTCCTACCTGGGCCCCAAAAGTATGTAGAATAATAGCCTTTTATGGGTATTGGGCCATTATTTTACCTACTTTGGGGGGTTTAGGTAAATACAAAATCACGCCGCAACAAACGACATCACACAGCTGACAATTTCACAACCACCACGCTCAACCCTAAAGCATGAGTAATATCCTCATCAACTCCGTTTAAGTTGTTAAGGCCACTATATTCAGCTCCAACAATTTATCAGGTTTCTGATTCCTGCATTGTCAATCTCTTCAAGCCTCACTCTTATCGCGGCCCCTTGCTATACGGTTCAGAGTTTACGCTTGCGGTTCACGCTTCAAACTTGAGGGCTTAGGCACGGGACACCAAACTCCCAAGCCTCACCCCGTCAGTGCTGTCCTCGGACTCGCCTTTCCAGCCCAGGAAACGAAGTAAGCGGCCCAAGCTGAGAGATTTCTGCAACCTGCAAAGCCTGGCTTGACTAGAGGGTCACAAGCAAAAAAACGAACAAACAACCTTGGACTCTATTAGAAGACGCTTACTTCCACTGTAGTAAAAACACATAAGACTCTGTCGTTAAATGCTTTGGGGCTTCAATCTGGGGTTTACCACAACCTAGACCGGCAATGAGTCTGATTAATTATGAGGGTCCCGCAACAGAAGACCCCCAATTTTAGGAAGCGCTGTTGGATTGGAGGCGGTCCTAACGCAAGAGCCGGGATTTGGGACTGAACTCTGAACGATTTCGGGTTAGGGTTTAGGGGTTTAGGGGTCCAGTTCAGGGTTTAGGGTCTAAGACTTCGGTGTAGGGTTTAGGGGGTTTAGGGGTCTAGTTTCGGGTTTAGGGTCTAAGGTAGCGTTGAGGATTGTACACTAGAGCCAGACTTGGCAAACAGCCAATCAGGCTCCACCAGCATCAGAAAAATGAGTGGGCAAAACTCCGGAATGCGAAAACCAAGCCGCAGACAGCACACCTTAAAACCCCTTATTGCATCATCTCCCCTACGGTTTGTGATATAAATCCTGCATTACCCATAATAAGGAATAAATGGGAATTATGGTATATTCCTTATTATGGGTCATGCAGGATTTATATCATCTCCCCTATGAAAAGGGGCGACTCATATCCCAAAGGCAGGATACCAGTTCTTCTGTGTTCACTTGTAGCCCTGCTTAAACCTGGTCCAGGCGCCCCATCAGCTGCATCAGCACCCAGGGATGCAGAAAGCCGTATGCACGAGCGGTGAGGCAGCGGGAGCTGTACTCGCTATCAAGCAGCCTCGGCTGAGAAGGTGAATTTTCGGCGAGCCGGATTCTGGACTTTGTCTTACGATTATAATAATACTAATGATACCAATAACAATAATAACAATAATAACAATAATGGCAATATTAATAATAAGAATAAGAGTAATAATGATGATAGTGATTTAGGGGTTCAGGTTTAGGGCTTGGGGGCTTGCCGTAAGTGGTCCCCTTGCTTAAGGTTGTATAGCCACGCCGGCAGAAGCTTCCCCTGAAGATTAAAGCTGTAAATCTGATGGAAATCCTTGTGCAGCACCGAAGCGGTGACGTGTTTGCAGAGGGTCCTGGTTTTAGGTTTTGGACTTAGGGTTCAGGGTTACTATGACGGTTACAATAAGGCTGACTATAAGGGTTGCCACAAGGGTTACTGTCAGGGTTGCTATCAGGGTCGCTATAGGCTTTCTAGGTTGAGGATGTAGGGTGCGTATATATATATATATATACAGACTAACCCAAGGTTCAAGCATCTCCGGTTTTAGCGGCTGGCTTGAACGCTGGACGTGTAACCATTCGGCGGCACTTCCTACCAGAACCTACCCTTATGTGGCCCTACACACCCTGAACCCCCGAGGTAATCCGTCCAGGCTGCAGCGCTGAAAAACACCCACACCCACTAAACCCTGAGGCCTAAACTATACCTTACCTGAAGTATTATACATATATTGAGCGTCTTCACTATTCTGATTGCTACTAGCACGAACAATCGTAATGGCAAGGCTATCCCAACTACCAGTACTATTTTGTTGAATTATCATTCTCTTCTTGAAAATAAACGTACGGTTGCTGTTGTTGTTGCTGCTGTGATTGTTGTTAGTCTTCATTCGTATGTTTCCTTCTTCTTATTGTCATTGTCACTCCAAACATTGATCTTCTTGCCTCAAACTCATATCATCATTATCACTATTACTCTGCTCTTCTTCCTATTACATCATTTTTCTTATTGATGACAACTAAGGCTCACCGACGGCAAGAAGCTTGTGCCGCATGGACACGGCTGATATGCCGGGCCGTCTCAGAACCTCCAATGACACCCGAAGCTCCTTCAGGGTCCAGGGTGGCTTAGGGTTTAGGGGTTTGTAAGGCTCTATACTGAACTTAGAACCCTAGCAAAAATTACAACTGTAGCTGTTTCTCAGAGATTATAATAATAACCAAACATTAAAAATAATTCTGAGTACCCCTAAGGGTCTATGGTTTAAAGCTTAGGGTTGAGGCTAAAGGGCTGGAAAGCTGCAGATGGGCATTGCCTTGCGGAGGGCTTGAGTAGGCGCGTAATAGCAGCGTAGAGGTTTTCAATGGGTGTTGCTAGGGTCTTAATGGCAGCTTCCAGATTTTCAACTAGGATGCCCAGTAAGCTAGGAATGAAAAAGGGCTCCCTTTTTGGTATTGGGCAACTTTATAAGCTACCTAGGACTACAAAAAGGAAATAAGGGCACTACTGGGCATCTTAGTCAATGGTTTTGGGGTAGTTTTACACGGGTTTCTGTTTTATGTTGATAGGGCTGTAACAAGGTTTTTATACGGCACCAGTACTACTGAGGCATTATCGGAGCATTTCATAGCCTGGGATTTGATGATTTTGGGCTTTGGGTTTTTTTTGTGTGGAACCTGAACTACGTCGGACCCCTTTATGGCTCTACAGCGAAAGCAAGCAATAACGGTTGACTGTGGCAGCCGAACAAGCACAGAAAATCAATAGAACAAACAAACGGAGAGCCATACGATACAGCTGGGAGCCAGCTTTTTCGACCACTGTATCCAGGGACCAGACATCCGAACAACCCGCCAAACAGTCTGCAGCATTTACGCGACACGTCGGAGCAGGCCCTATCGATTGAAACTCATGACCGGCCCTCCTCCATGACCCTCTCTGGGTGGAGGGGGAGCACGGCCCAACCGTCCAAGAAGCCCAAAGTGAATGGAAGCCTTGCGAGTAGGCGTCAGCATGCTGGGTCAAGGTTGGCGTAAATCTTGTACATCCACGCAGGCAGGAGGGGATATCTTTCATGGCCCCAATGCCAATCACCCTTGCCCCTGACCGTAAATCCTAAACACCAGATCTCCAAACGCTAGGCCCGAAAGCCAAGACACAAAACCTGACTACTTTGAACCTCTTTCCACGGCTCAGTAGACCACGAAACCCCAACCCCCAAACTCCCAACCGCTATTTAAACACCCCACGGTTTCGCCCGGAATACGTGAACAATGCGCCTGTCATTCAATACACCTACTATACCGAAAACTCTCAACCTTAAGGGCTTTCTAGAACCCAAATCCAGATAGAACACCTGCGGCCACCTATACCTACAGTCTCCACTGTAGTTCCTTATTGGGGTTACCTTTCAGGATCCTTAATGTAAAATTGGTTAAACAAAAAAAGGAACTACAATGGAGACTATAGGTAGAACCCAGTTTAGACCTTTGTCTTCTGAGTTTATCATGACAGGAAGCCGGGTTGCCCTGCACGTGCCGGCGTGCGCGAGGCCGTTTCGCTCGCTAAGGCGCCGAAGCAGCGGCGTCTCCGGTGAGCCGATGCCACCTGGAGTTTCCCAGAGACTCCAATATCCCTTAATTAAGGAATATACCGTAAATCATATAAGGGATCCTACTATGATTTAAGGTATATTCCTTAATTGAGGGATATTGGAGTCTCTAGGTTTCGCTTTCTTTAAACCGATCCGCAGATACAGCAATCCACACATACGGGGACCTCATCATAATACATCTTCACACCTAGAAGCGATAAACCCTAGAGGAGCCCTATACATGGACTCCGAAACGCCGAAGTTCCAAACGATAAACCCTGAACCGTAAAAGACCATAAAGCCCTAAACCCGAAAAGAACCCTAACCACTACTAGACCTAAGAGTAACCTAAAAATAAAAAGGGTGCCCTTTTTGGTGTAGAGGGGCTTATATACGGGAACCTGAACCCCCAAAAAGGGAATAAGGGCTTACTCTGGGTCTTAGACTACCAAAAAAATCCGCACCTCCAAGGCTGAGTAGGCCCGACTGCTGGAACAGGTTTAGCTGCTCGTCGGACGGCGCAGAGCTGAACCTGAAAACCACAGAGTCCAATCCGTATTTTACGGAATACACATTTTGATAAAATTCGGGTTCAGGGCCGTTCGGGTTGTAGTTTAGGATTTAGACGAGCATTGTCAGCAAGCAGCTCATTTAATTACCTGGGCCCAAGGAACAGATGGGAGGCCAAACGAGGGGTTTAAAATTCTTAGGGTAGGGATTCCTTAATATGAACCCTATTATGGGAACCCTAATCCCTACTAAACCCCCATAGGCTAAAACCCCTTGTGGCCTCCTATAAGGCACAGCTGAGTTTCCACCCTGCGGGTTTCGCGGGGCGTAAGGGAGCTTCAGAGAGATGCCTGGGTTTAGGGTTTAGGGTTTAGGGTTTAGGGTTTAGGGTTTAGGGTTTAGGGGAATACATCCCTCTGTAGTCCCCAACTGGGAACCCGATGTCCGGACGCGCAAAGTAGGAATACCAGCACTAATAATTCGTCCTGCTTCCGCTGTCCAACCTTGTTTGGGGGGGTCTTACTGCCCACACCGATGATTGCAATACCTCCCCACGTCCAAAACCCAGTACTTAGGAAGCCTGAACCCTGAACACCTACATCCTCAAACCTAAAACCTAATCCAGCAAAGCAGCTCTAAACACAGTAGGCTGGTGAGCTCCCTCAGGGTGCTGTGAATCGCAGGATGGATCCTCGGCACCTTGGCAGGAAGAAACCGTTGAGGTTTTAGGGTTTATAACCTTTAGGGTTTACCTAAACCCCCCAATGTAGGTAAAATAATGGCCCAATACCCATAAAAGTCTATTATTCTACATACTCTTGGGGCCCAGGTAGGGTTTAGGGTTAACCTCAAACCCCCCAACCCAGAAATCCAAGCATCGAACTTTTTGGGTTTCGAGTCCCAAATGCATTGCGCTGGGCTGTGAGACCCAAACTTAGGGCCCCAAAAAAGCACATAAGCAAAAATAAGGATAGGGATATCCCATATAAACCCCCTTATAATGAAGCCCAAAAAGGTAGGGATATCACCATAAGAAGCTTATGCTTATGTACATTTGGGGTCCCTACAAACTCCTCGATGTGGTTACTGGGACCTTCAATCTGAGCACGTTGGGAGCAACCTGGGCTCGTCCCAACGCATTGCTGTGAGTACCAGGAGGAGGATCCTTCACAGTGGTAGCCGGAAAGTTGAAACATCATTATCCCCATGGCCTTGTGGTTAAAGCATACGAAATCTTAGCACTAATTATCTTAAATCCATGTTCCTACTTTCTGGGGTTGGCAGTAGTCTTAGATCACCTCTAGTGAAGGGACAAAGGGCTCGTTGATAAGGGCTTAACGGTAGGGTTTAGGGTCCAGGGGACCCCTGTTCAACACCATCTCCTGTAACACGGACTTCCGCCTCTTCATAGGCATCCTAGCGCTGGTTCGGGGATTGATGTGGGCCCTGAAATGTAATACTTTTTTTTGGGGGGGTGGCCTGGTGCTGAGGCATCATGAGCAAAGAAATTGAACCCTTTGTACAAGGTCCAGTCGACACTGTTTGAAGATGCTGCAGAAGGATTAAATACAGCTAAACCCTAATCCCAAAGCCGTAAACCCTACTTGAAGAGTCGAGGCTTCTTATGAGGAGGGTAAAGTAGGTTCACAGGTGTCCCAACTGGGGACAGAAGAAGTGTCTATATTGACCCTAGTACCTACAACATACGATAGCCGAATGCCAAGTCAAACGTTCGATGCATTAATTCGAACAAGCCCGGGGCATATTACTCTGCAGCTACAAGGTGCTGCCAGGGAATGCTATTCTAAATTCTTCTCGCCCGTGTAGCAATATCAGCCGTTGCCCCAAGTGCAGATGCCGCCAGAACGAGTCTAGAAACCAAGGTTCAGGGATTCGGAAATTAGGCTCGGAGCACTCAATCCCAATTTAGGATTCCTAAGCGCTAGACCCCCAATTAACGCCTAGACCGCACACCCCCACTTGGAGGTTCATGGGTAGTTATAAGTAGGTTCATAAGCCCCCGAATATGAGTTGTAAGTATAGTTGCCCTACTTATAACTACCCATGAACCTCCAAGCATGGCACCAGTGATAGCCCAATTGCGCCCTGGTGAGAAACGCCCCCCATAAGTGCAGCACAGGAGCCGGTGTTCGAGCCAAATCAACGAAAGCTGCCACGCCCCGCTCCTCCTCGAGAACCCAGACCCCCGGGAGGATCTAGAAAGCAGATCAACTACTTTGGGGGCCCTATACTACCAAGGGTACTTTAGAGGAACCCCCGTTAAACGATCTGCTTTTTGGATCCTCCCGGGGGTGTGAGAACAAAGGACCTTGATGGCCCTGCCTTTTTGTTTTGTAGGTTTATGTAGGGTTTTGGAGAGGCATCCACTGAATGTCTCGAGATTACGCAGGCACCAATATACATTCCCTTTAACCCAAGACCTACTTAATCCCGCTCGACAACAACCTCACATCTAAAGGCCTGTCAAAGAACCCCAGCTACAACTGCACAGGGACTTCTGCGAATCACACTTTTCACCCAAAACTCTGCCGAGATCCGCAAACTGTAAACCCTAATCCATTGTTTTGTTCGGGTTTAGAGTTTGGGGATCTGAGGTTTGGGGTTCAGGTTCAGGGTGTAGGGCTTGAGGTATTTTTTGCTTTTGAGCTCCTTGCCATGTCGGACAAAGGCCTACATTAACCCGGAATAACCTACCTTTTCAAGGACTTATATAGCGAACCGCAGAAAGTTGGAACATGAAGTTAGGATGATTTTCGCTGGGATTCCCTATACTTTACCTTAAGGGCATGAGGATAATGATGTTCCAACTTTCTGGCTTCTACTGTATAAGGAAATCATAATAAGGAACCCGAGAACGGTAGGTTCTTCAGGGTTAAGGTAGGGTTTAGGGTTCTGAGGTTCGGGGACAGATCTGGCTCCTGAAGGAATCGTAAGGTCAAAAGATCGCCAAGACCTCACAGAGTCATGCGGTCTAAGGGCATTAGGGTTTCGGGTTAGGGGGTTTTGGGGTTTATGCAAGCAGTCAGCAGACAATCCGGCGTTTAGGACTTCAGGTTTAGGGGTTGTAACTTTTTGGGCTCGTGGATTTCAGGTATTGGAATGTCGGGCATGTTCTTGGACTGGGATTTCGGTGCTCGTTTCGAATGAGTGTTCGACAAACAAAGGTGCTGGGATTTACCCAACTCCAAGGACACGAACCCCCAAACTTTGGCCCCAGATCCTAGTGCATACCCAAAGGCCCAAAAGTAGTTCCTTTTGGGGTTCATATTTAGAACTCTATAAGGTAATCCCAAAAAGGAACTACTTTGGGACCTATGGGTAAGGCTATTGGGGAGGAGGACCGGTCCTTGCGTGATGTTTGTATGGTGATGAGATCGTCCGGACATGGCATCAACTCTCAAAATCCCTAAACCTTAGAAGGGGCCCCCACCCTGTAATCGTGGTATAATGGGAATATAGTAGGGCCCTAATATAATCTTATAGTCGCTATTAGAGGGTGGGGGCCCCTTCTAACCTCAACCTACAAACCAAGAGACCGCAGAATCCCTTCGCGATCGAATCGGCAAAAAGGTGACTGAAGCGCTCCCGTCTTCCGACATGGAAACCACGACTATAATGGTTTGAAACATCCCTCCTCAAATGGAAGCCCAAAACCCTACAGCCCTAATCCGTACATCAGATGTTACGTCTATTGTTCTACATGATATCACTTCAACAGCGACAAGAAGGACCCAAAACAATACTTCTACTAACTGATTGTAAAACAGCTATGTGTATCGGCTGACAACAAACAGAAGCCTCAAGAAAACTCTGCGTTCTCAGAGACTCCAATATCCCTTAATTAAAGAATATACCTTAAATTCGCCTCGGCCGAAGCGGTCAGAGGTTCCTATTCGGATTCCCCCCCCTTAAAAATGGAAACGTGTCACTGAGCTCCAAGGTACGGCGGTGAATTCTCGCCCCCTCCAACGGATTTTGGCTTCCCACCCAATTTTCCTTGCTTCCCCCCCCCTCCCCCTCTCCCCCCCTCCCCCCTCTCCCCCCCTCCCGCCCCTCCTCCGCTCGCTGACAGGTGCGAGCTTTCTGGAGTTTTCGACGACACGGGACTGCAATGTAGCATCTTTATGTGTTGGGGCTCGCCTTTAAGGCTGCAGTACCAAGCGAGTTTCAAACCTGAATTCCTAACCCTACACCCTAACCCCAGCCTGAAAGGCTTTCAAAGCCCGTTGAAAACCTGCACCCGAAAGCACGACGCCCCCTCCCCGAAATCCACAGCCTCAACGGCCCATACTTAAGGCATCCCGCCGCTTGCGAGAGTCTTGGTATCCAGTGTTTCGGAATGACGACACCAAAATTCGTACTGATACTACCACTACTAATACTACTCACAATCATCCTGCTTCGTGTTGCTATGAACATTACTTTTACTATAAGTGCGATTCCAACTGTTACTTTTTTCCTACAACAGCTTGCTGCAGATAGTAGCCACTCGCCGCATGCGCGTACAGCCGGGCCGAGGCGGACGACGCGCAGCGTTTCAAATTACACTAGGATCCCTTATATCATTTAAGGAGTATTCCTTAGTTAAGGGATATTGGAGTCTCTGGGTTGTCCAGCCTCCTTGAGGTGCGGTTTTGCCGGCGAAAGCAGCGGCTGTAAATGCCAGGCCTACACGGAAGAGCGCCAGCCGGAGCCACCTGGGTTTAGAGTTTAACTGAGTTGTCCTTCAAGCCCTTTGAAAATTGTTTAATAGTATGGTTCTCTACAAAATAGTAAGGGAAATTAAAAAAGATCCCAAAGGACAACCCCGTTAACTTACAGGGCTTGAGGTTTTGGGTTGTGGGTTTAGGGTGTAGGGTTGAGTGGCCTAGGAGTCTAAACACAGCTAGGGCCTAAAGGGATTGGGGTATGGTAGGAACACGGAAGCTGAAGCAAAGCCTATGAATTTCAATTTGTGAACTTTTTTGGGATAGGGGATTTAAGGTTCGAGGCCTCACCTCTGCTGATGTCGCTTGCCCATATAACGGATGGTTGCGTTCGTTGCTTTGCCGCTACATCTGTTGTACCTCATGCCCGCACACTACCTACCATGACGAGTACGCCGCTGATGCTGCTACTACGACTATGACTACTACGACGACTACTACTAATAATAATCATACTACTGATACTGCCACTGCTACTATTACTACTACTACTACTACTACTACTACTACTACTACTACTACTACTACTACTACTACTACTACTACTACTACTACTACTACTCCTGCTGCTGCTGCTACTACTGCTGCTGCTGCTACTACTACTACTACTACTTCTGCTACTTCTGCTGCCGCTGCTGCTGTTGCTGCGAGCTGCAGATCGGCTAGAACAGAAGAGCAGATCAAGATAAACTTCCTCAAAGCCAAACTTAGAGGGTCCAAGTACTCCGTATTCTAGGCCGTAAGGCCTTTTAAGGCACCAAAAACCATAAATAAGGACTACTTGGACCCTTAGGGAAAGTCATAAAGTCAAAAGCAAAGCCGTACAAACAAAGCCCAGCGACTTGTAGCGCCGTGCTGCGTTGAACGCAGAAAACTCCTGCAGCAATCCCGCATGCTGCCTGCGACACTAAAACTGCAGCTCCCGACCCTGACTCCCAGTCCGAAAACACCTTTTACGAGAAGCGTGTTTGGGTCAAGGTCTGGAGGGTCTAAGGTTACAGCTTTGGACGAGTGTCGAACTCAAAACTGCCGTCAATCTCGGACTCAGCTTGCAAGAACATCATGCAAAACCGCGGCTAATTTGGAAGGGTAGGACGGCCTAGTGTTTTGAATGTACAGTAGAACCCCAACAGTTGGAAACCCCATAGCCTCAATCCTTTAGAGCAATGTATAGGGAATCCCGGCACGATTTGGCCTTAATCCGATTTCCAACTTTATGGGGTTGACTGTAGGCAGCGATGTGCCTCGACTAAGGAGGAAACCAGGGCAGCATAGCGGAAGCTGTCCAAGCAGTGGACCAGGAGTTCAGGATCTCCATTGAAACCTTCAGGAGCGTTCCATCCATCCATACAGCCATCCATCCATCTGCCCATTCATCTGTCCATCCATCGGTCCATCCATCTGTCCATCCATCCGTCCATCCATCCATGCATACATCCATGCATGCATGCATACATACATGCACACATACACGCATGAGTAGATACATACATGCCTGCATGCATGCATACATACTACGTATACATGCATGCATACATGCGGCGTTGCTCCTCCCCCCAACCCGGCCGCACCGACAGTGCTGAACTAAAAGCCACGCCCTGATGCATGGAGCCGGAAAAACTGAGAGAGCTTTGGGCTTTCGGTGTATGGTGTACAGACAGTCGAGGAGAAACCATTGCCAG